CCTTAAAGAAAAAGCTAAGGAACAAACCCCAAATCCTGAGTTCAAACCCCAATACCAGCACAAAATGTGATGTGTGTGTCCATCCTTATAGAGGGCATGGTTGTAGTTTCCACATTCTCAAAGGAAAAGCATGAGCCAAGAAAAATTAAGAACCACTGGTCTTGATCTAAAGAATCCAACTGTGCGTCCTTTAGACAATTGTCCACACTCACTTTCCCTTCAGGGCTTCTAGGAAGTGTTGAGCTTCAGGACCACAACCCCCGAACAGGTACCTGAAATTCAGCTTTTCTCTGATATGAAATGGGTTTTCAAGCTGTGTCAAGTGTCAGTAACACCCATACTCATATGAAGCACATAAACCATCCACTTTTCTACAAGCATTTCGCTATGAACATTGACAAAGCTGTCTCAAAGGATTGATGGTATTTCTTCCAGGTAGTATTAAACACATAGACACATAGACACACAGACACACACACACACACACACACACACACTTCGCCTGTAGATAAAAATTGCAGGTGAGCCCAATACCAATCATTTTCCTAGCTACACATCACTTGTGAACTTTAAAAAATAATAATTTTCCTCTATCTAATTGATGGAATCTGGAAATTTTTTTGTCTTATTGTTTTAATCATGTGTTATACAAGAAAATCCCTGCCACAGCTGAGATACACACAATCAACCCTCCTCTCCTTAGAATGGTGGTTAAAATGTCACAAAACCCTACGAGCATAAAATTAGGACAGTTGCCTACAATGCCATGGAAACATAGCTCTGTAAAAAATTGCATGCATCAAGGTTGGTGCTGATGGCTCGCACCTGTAACTCTAGCTACGCAGGAAGCTGAGATCTGAGGATTGTGGCTCAAAGCCAGCCTACGTAAAAAAAAAAAAAAAAAAATCTAATAGAATATATCCAATTAACTAGCAAAAAGCCTGAAGTAGAGCTGTGGCTCAAGTGGTAGGATGCCAGCCTTCAGCCCAAACAAATGAAAGGCACTGAATTCAAGTCCCAGTACTGGTAAAAAAAAAAAAGGAGAAGAAGAAAAACTCATGCATCTAAACAAAGTCACAGACTCAGAATCTAGTCTTCAAATTGGGTACTGGTGGCGAATGCCTGAAATCCTAGCTACTCAGGAGGCTAAGATCTGAGGACAACAGTTCAAAGCCAGCCCAGGCAGAAAAGTTCATGAGACTCGTATTTCCAATTAACCACCAGAAAACCAGAATTGAAGCTGTGGCTCAAAGTGGTCAAACACTAGCAAATGATCTCAGTGATAGCTCCCAGACCCTGAGTTCAAGCCCCACAACTGATTTTTTTTTAAATCAAAAAAAAAAAAATCTAGCCTTCAGCAGAACAAAACCAAAGACATAATTTTTGTCAAACAATCAAATGTTGAATAGGCTCAGAGCACTAGCATAGCTAGTGCTAGTGCTACTTCCTAAGAGACTAAGATATAAGTCAGAATGCCGACTTATTAATTAATCATAGAGAATATATTCTTTTCCACTAATCAGAAAATTTAAACTTGAAGCCTGGGTGCTGCTTTCTCAATGTCCACAGAAATAGAATCCTGAATTAGTAATCAGAAGTTCTTTGAAAGTTACACAAAGGGAGATAGAAAGGCTTTGTTAAGTCTGATCTGGAGAGGGTGCTAGCTAAAGAATTTTCTTGCCTAACATACATCTTAACAGCAGGTCTACACAGGTAATCTCTCTCTTTTGGATACTACTTCCTGAACAGGAGACTTTTCTTTGTCCCAGAGTTTTCCTCTTTCCCACTCTTCCCTCCATTAAAGTACTTCCCTAACAAGGCACAAAACTGTGAACAAGGGCACGCTTTCTCAGTGTTATTATCCTCTTTTTTAGATAGGAAACTTCCAGATAAGATTGCTTAAACAATTAGCCAAGGTCAAGTATAAGCAGAGCAGAAGCAAAGCCATATCTCAAAACCTAAGCAGTAGCCAAGCAGAGTGCAGTACACCTGTAATCTCGGCATTCAAGAGCCTAACGCAATACAACTTTCATTTGAGGTCAATGAATGTAAGCTATTTAGTCAAGGCCAGACTGGACGACATTGAGAAATCCTATAGAAAGAAAGAAAAAAAGAAAGAGAGAGAGAGAGAGAGAGAAAGAGAGAGAGAGAGAGAAAGTTCCCAATTTAATCTTGGAACAAATGATGCCTTCACAGTATTTTTCCCTTAGCCTTCTGTCATTAGTCTGATTTAAACATCCCTCTCTGTGGTCTCATAACACCATAAGCATGCCATCTCTCTCACTACAATGAAACTGCCTGAGTTCTATTCTAGAAGTCACTTTGTATCCCTAGAGCACTATTAATCTAGGTGAATAGGCAAAGCAGTGTGCGGAGTAGTTCAACATACAGATCAACAAATCAAAGGTCCCAAATTAGCATCTTACGATGGTCACAAGTCCTCAGTCCTCAGCATCTCATCTAAAAAATTAGGATGAAATGGATGTAATTGGATATACAAGGTTCCTTCTGGATCTAAAAATCACTACAACGGTAGATAGACTTGGAAATTTTTTTATGAATTACCTCAGCAGCATGAAGCATAATAAAATGAAATTCTACATTTATCCTCAAAACTCTCTAGCTACAGAAAATGTATAAAAATAATAGAGAGTTCAGTACCGGCTTTCTTGTTTTCTGAAAGTCTATAACTGTCATCTGTACTAAAATCAGTGGCACCCTCCTCTGGTGAATGCAAAAGGATCTGAACACCACCAGAACTACCTGCTGGGCTTTGCTTCCAATGATACAGAATGAAAAAACAAAAGGGAATAGCACAAAAGTACTTAATGTCACTCCTCTAGCAACTCAGTAACACTTTTTATAGAAGCTTCCTACTTTCCCCTAAAACAAAGCCAAAAATGATGAACTAATGACACAAGGTTATAGAGAAAATAGATATATTTTTCAAAGGTATTAATAATATTATTTTGCAAGCAAACATAAGCTACAGCAACAAGCATTTCATAGTTTAGCTAAAGATGACCATCTTTTTATTTTTAAAAAGTTTAAATGAAAATCCAAATATATGTAAAATTCTTTTCGTTAAATAAAAGCATCTACCATGCTCTTTCTGGATAGTATATTTACCACAATATAATACCAGAAATTTTCAACTTGAAACTTGATTAGGTCTGCGAGTTTCTGATTTTAGCAAATCAACTTAAAAAACATTGTTTTAGTCATCCAATTACACATACAGACTCAAAATATGCCAATGTATCATACCAGACAACCACAACCCAAAGTTTTATGATGTTATTGTTACATCATACTGCCAATTACAAGTTAAAATTTTAATCCGAATTTTAAAGTAAAAGTGTGCTTTCTAAGACCAGAATCAGATTCCTATCCACCAACTACTTTCAAATCAAAGTCTATTAAGCTCAATAAGTGACTTACAAATGAGAAAATGAATGCTTCCTTTCACCCCAGAGAATCCAGAAACAAAAAAATGAAAACACAGACATTCTGAATCCAGCCAACAAAACACATCAGTCATTACACTTGCTGGCAACCTTGTCACTCAGGTGTGTCTTTGTCCAGGTACGTAGTGTCTCTACCTCCAATTAACTTCTCATTTTCCATCTACCTGTGGTCAAGGGGAGGGCTCACTCCCACGCCACACAGAACGTTACAAAATGACAACTACTGGGAAACATTCATTCCGAAAGAAAATAAAAGACTAGACGGAAAACTGCTTTCAGTGGGCTTCTGTTTTGTTTTTAATGGGACTGGGGTTTAAATTCGGGGCCTACAACTTGCTGAGCAGGTGATCTACCACTGAGCCACACCTCCAGACCCAACTCAGCCCACAAAACAAAACAAAAACAAAAAAAAAAGGCCTGATTTAAAGTTTTTCCTGTTTGTCAACCTCTGTAAAGCGGGTTCTGCAACGCAGGAGAATTAACAGAGAAAGAATCGCTGATGGTGGGTGGAGAATGCAGATAAGATAACCAATTAAAAGCCTTCCTCGTGTTTACCCCGAACCAAGGCCAAGGAACCAGCAAACGTCTGAGCGACGGTGTAGTTTCCTACAGCTCCCAAAAGTCCCGGGGGTGGTGAGGGGCCGAGCAAGTTGGATGGAAGATGGTGAAAAAAGAGAAAGAGGAGGTGCGGGTTACAGAAGAATAAGGCCAATTAAAAACCCCAAAAAATAAAAAATAAATAAATAAAGGAAGGAATCTTAAGTATGGAAGCAATGGATCTAGGTTCCACACTGGCCAGCTGAGGAAGGTGGGGCGCCCAGGCTGCCCCCTCCGGAGCGCCGGCGGGGTGTCGGCCACGTGTAACACGCCCCTGTCCCGGTCCCAGCCCCGAGGCCGGGAGCCAGGACCCCCCTGACCTCCAGGCAGCTGAACCCCCGCGGGCCATCAGGGGGGAGACGTGTGGGAGAGAGGTGCAGACGGGCCTCCCGCCCCATCTTCCGATCCCAGACGGATCGGCGGGGGCGCCGGGGTGGGCCGGGGCCCCGCCAAGGCCGCGGGGGCTCCTCCGTCCCGTCGCCGCGCTCCTCACACCCGCGGCCGGCGAGGCGCCCGGGAAGCCGGCCGAGCTGGGGGGAAGGTTGGGGGGGGGGGACGCGCGGGGCCGCCCGCGGGGTTCGTCCCCGGAGCGCCGGCGATCGCCGGGCGCCCCTCGGCCGTCCCACCCCGGCCGGCAGACGAAGGGTCTTTTCCTTGGGAGGGCGTCCGACAGAACTCTTCCTTGGTGGCTAATTCGGACTCTATCCTGAGAACAGGGGCGCTGAGACCCGGGGCGGGGGGGGGGGGGGTTGGGGGAAGAGGGATCCGGGCGAGGGCAAAGTTCACTGGAAATGTCAAGACCTGCACAATCACTGGCCGGGTCAACCGGCTGTCTGTCCCAGCTTGGGTCTCCCCGCTGTGGGGGACCCCGGACCCCAAAGAGTTCTGCGTCCAGAAGTGTTTGGGGGCCAACTTCGGGGCATCGCCACGCCCCTCTCACACGCGCCGTCCACAGACAGACAGACAGACAGACACGCTGCCAACCCCTACCTCGCCGCCGTGCCCGTCGAAGATCCCGAAGATGGACGGGTGCGTCTTGTTGGCCAGGTCCGTGAGAACCTGGAAGCGGTCCTCCATGTGGTCCCGGCGGCCCTGGATGGAGTAGACGGCCACGTTGTGGCTCTTGAACTCCCAGGTCTTGGAGAACTCGGCCTCGAGCACGTCCAGCCCGCCCAGGCGGTCGTTCTGCATGATCTCGGCCACCTTGCCCTTCACCATCTTCACGGCGTCGCGGCTGGACTTGACGATGGTCTTCACCTCGTCCGTGTGGAAGAAGTAGCTCCACAGGGCCAGGCTGACGCACAGCAGGAACAGCGTCTCGGGTCTCAGCAAGAAGTAGCGCATGATGCGACCCAGCAGAGACAGCAGAGTCATCGTATCCTCTATCATTTAGCACCGCCGGGGCCCCGCCGCCGGCAGCCGCGCGCCCCGAGGGCTCGCGGGGTGCGGGGCGCGGCAAGGGCGGCCCGCGGGGACCGAAAGTCGGGGTGCGGGGCGCGGGGCGCGCGGGGCCCGGCGGGTCGGCGGGCGGGGACCCGCGCGGCCGGCGAGGCGGCTACCCCTTTTGTCTCCCGCCCGGCGGCCCGCAGGCCCGCGCCGCCCGTCCGCCCTCCCGCCGCCTCCCGCCGCTCTTTGTGAGCCCGCAACGACGCCGGCGGCGGTGGCGGCGGCGGCGGAGGCGGCGGCGGCCGCGGGTCCCGGTCCGGCGAGAGGCACCGAGTGGAGTTGCGCCGGGCGGGCGGCGAGCCCGAGAGTTCGGGGCGCACGCGCGGCCCCCGCGGAGTTCCCCCGCCGGTTCCCGGGAGCGATCGGCAGGTGAGGCGGCGCGGGGCGCGGGAGCCTGGCGGGCCGGGGATGCGCGCTGCTCGGTCTCCGCGGCCGGGAATCCGAGCGCTCCGGCCCCCTCACACACTCGGGGTGCCCAAGAGAATAAAAGTTTTCCGCGGGAGCCCGGGAAAAGGCGGGGAGATGCGGAGCCCGACGCGGCGAAACCGGAGGGGAGCCGCAGGCGGCCGGCCCGGCTCTGCCAGCCTCTCCCCGTACCCCGCGCTCGGCTCGGCTCCGCTCGGCCTCGCTCGCGCGCTCCCACCCGGACTCCCGGCTCCGCCCGCTCGGCCCCGCCCCCAGCCAAGGCTCCTCCCCTCTAGGCCCCGCCTCCACTCGGGGCCACGCCCCTTCGCGTTCCCTAGCCCAGAACCTAAGACGTGAGGAGGGGCGGGCGCGCGCGTGTGGCCAGGGCGGACCGGCCCAACTGCGGCGGGCGGAGGCGGGGAGAGCAGGGCGCGCGTCCTTCGCTGGGCCCTCGCATAGGGTTTCCCTCGTCTTTCGAGCGGGCTCCCGTGACGGCACGTGGTAGTCGTGGAAGGCCGAGCGTGGGCTTCGGGGCGCGTCAGCCGCCGTTGGCGGGGCAGAGGGTGCGCGAGCGCGTCACCCCCTCCGAGGCCGCGCGATGGTGCGGTCCGCCGGGCGAGCGGAGGGCGAGCGAAGAGGGACGCACTTCCTCGGGCTCCGAGGCCGCGCTTAGCGCACCTGTGCCTGCCTGCCGCCCGCGGCCTTCGGGACCCCGCAAGGGCCAAGAACGCACTTATGGGGTGGGGGTGAGGAGGCTCCTGGAAACTTCCATACAATAGAAGGGGGAGCCTGGAGACGAGTGCGCCCTGATGCGTCCCCAGGGGTCCTGGCCGTTCGCGGGGACCGGGCGGCCTGGCCCTAGCCCTGCCCGGCTGACCGCCCTCGGGTTTGGGGGTCCCTGGCTGGCACGGCCTCCCCGGTCCCCGCAGGGAAAGACGAAGGGGGCGGGAGAGCCGAGAACGAACCGCGCGCCCACGGGCCGGGAACGCGGGATCGGTGCGGGGAGGGCCGCGGGCGCGGGAGGGAGGCGATCGCGCCGGGCGGGCCGGGGACACCGGTGCTGCCCGGCGCCTGCAGCCCTGCCCGGGACGTCCTGACCCCGGCTCCCTGCTTTACAAATAAGAAGAGCTAGAGAAAGATGCACCACCCTGGCCCCGGGGTTGTTAGAGTCGTCTGCTCGGCTCTCAGCATTGCCCCCGTGGCTTGGTCCGCTGACCACCCTCCCTGCCGGGGATCTCCCCAAAATTCTCCAGCCCAGAGTCTTCATCGAAATGTGAAATTCCACTTCCTCCCCGCCAGGTGACAGGTGCCTGAATTCCTAGAAGCAGATGCGGCTGGGGACTTAAAGCAGTAGGTTCCCGCACCTGACAGACCTGCACCATAAACTCTGAACCCTCCGTCTCCCCGTGACCCCATGACCCTGCTGAATCCCCCCCACCCTGCTACCACGTCATGCCTCCTGTCTCTAAACTCTCCTCTGGTCACCATGGTGGGCCACTTCAATGCTCCAATAATGCTCTGGTCTGTTGAGATTGTTTGCTGCTCTTTCTTTAATACCCTCGAGACTCCGTTTTCCTAGGACTTTTTTCAGTTTCTAAGACTTTGCCAACATTTCTACAAAAGGCAATGTTTCCATCATCACTAGAAGAAAAACAAAGGAAGAAAATCTGAGCATTTATATGACAAACTATGATCCCCAAAATGTAAGTGTGCATAAAAAAAAGTAAGTCTACACTAGGTTAAATAGTCAATTGTTAATAGTCAAGAGGTTCCAAAATCAGATAAATTCAAAAACGTTTAGGAACTATAAAATAAAGGTAATGAGCCAGTCACCATGGCTCATGCCTGTACTTCTAGCTACTCAGGAGTCTAAGATCTGCAGATAATGGCTCAAAGCCAGCACAGAAAGGAAGGTCTGTAAGACTTATCTCTAATTAACTCCCCCTCCCCAAAGAAAAAGCCAGAAGTAGAGTGCTAGCTTTTTTGGGGGAGGTGGGGGAGTAGGGAGAATGTTCAGGAACAGTGCCCAGGCGTTTGAGCCGTAGGATTGGCAGGCATCCATGATAAAAAGGTAATAAATCATGAAGATGAGTTAACATTACTTATTGTAAATTAGTAAATCACTCTGGGTGCATTATTACTCATGAAACTGTTCGCAACAAAAGAAATGTAAGCGGGCATTGGTGGCTCATGCCTGTAATCCTAGCCCCTGAGGAAGCTGAAGTCAGAATCATGGTTGGAAAACTGTATGGGCAGGGAAGTCCATGATACTCTTATCTCCGATTTACCACCTAAAAACAGTAAGTAGAGCTGTGGCTCAAAGTGATAGAGCACTAGTCTTGAGCATAAAAGCTTAGGGACAGTGCCCAGTCCCTGAATTCAAGCCCTACAACCAACAAAAGAAAATAAATTTGTAACAAGCTAGTTTTGTTTTTTTTTTTGCTAATTCCCGAACAAACTACAAGTCAGAGTAGGCCCTAGCATAACAGAGACTCACTCAGATTCCTATCACCTCTCCAGCACTCTTGTAGTCATAAAAGATGTGATTTCTGTTTTTCCCATACCTAAGTGAAAATGACATTATCATACCAGCCTCTCTAGAGGTTAATTAGCAAGGCTTGACTTGATGAATTAATTAATAAACCTAGATATCCTGCAGAGTCTAGAGACATGCTTTGACATTCACATTAAGTAGTTCATCTGTGTGAAAAATCAATAAAATCCTTTTTCACACCCACCCTGTGGGTACTTTTCTATTTCTATTAAATCATGTCATTTACTTGGCAGTTTCCTTAAATACCTAGATGACTTTGTAGTATACTGTAAGTTTTAGAACAATAGGTAAAAAATGACTTTGCTCTAGTAGCAAACATTTTTCAGGTGTAACAATTCTATTTTCATTCCATTTTCATAACAATCCTCTGAGGAAGACAGAGGAGCTCTTTTCTCATATAAAAAAGAAACTGAAAGCCTGGCACCAGTGGCTCATGCTTGTGATCCTAGCATCTCAGGAGGCTGAGACCTGAGGATTGCAGTTTGAAGCCTCCCGGAGTAGGAAAGTCTATGAGACTCTTACCTCCACTGAAGTACTCAGAAAAAGCAAGAAGTGGTGCTGTGGCTCAAGTGGTAGAGTGATAACCTTGAGCAAAAGAAGCTCAGGGACAGTGCCCCAGCCCTGAATTCAAGCCCCAGGACCTGCAAAGAAAAAAGAAAAACAACAAGAAGAAAGTGAGTAACAAAAGATGTAAAATGAATATTATAATACAAAAAATTAACTCAAACTCATTTCTTCAGATTAATGGTTCACAACTCTTAGCATCCATTGGTTGACCAGTGATGCTGAAATGATTAGGCTAATAGTTATACCTCTCTAGTCACAAAATTTTCAGGCCAGGTGCCCATGGCTCACACTTGTAATCATAGCCCCTCCGAAGGCTAAGATCTGAGGATCAAAGTTTAAAGCTAGCCAAGGCTTTAAAGGCAAGTTGGCCAATTCTTACAATTCCATAATTACAGGTGTGAACCACCAGCATCTTGTATGGCTTGGTTTTTGAGCTTTATAAAAATAACTTACTGTTTATTGTCTTTCAGTACTTATCTTTTTACTTGCTGTTGTTTATTACTTAGTTCTTCATTTATTGATGTATTTGAGAAAGGGTCTTGCCCAACAACTGGTCCTCCTGCTTTAGTCTCCCAAGTGCTGGGATTACATAATGCCCAACTTACTTGCTATTGCATTTCTAGATCCTTCCATGCTGTTAGCTAGAGCTGTAGTTCAATCATTTCTACTGCCAGGTTATGTTCCAGTATGTGGCTATTCCATAATTCATGTAATCATCTTCCCTAAATGTGTATTGATATTCCAAATATTTTCTTTTATAATCAATGACTCCATGATTATTTTAATGTTCTCTGAAATATGAAGCTAGGAGTGAGGTTATGATATGGTAGAGGATGTAAAGATGGAATATGATATTTGACTTGGATTGTGTAAAATGGATAATGAATGATTTTAAGATATAAATGTAAGTGTGCTGTGGATAAGACTTCCCTGGTAACTCATTACTTTAGCTAGTAACTGTAATTGTAAGTCTGTAACTCCATGACCCTGTAACTCTGATTCTGCTGTTTTCTGAGCAATCGGAGCCCTAACCCAGTGGACCATCACCACCCTTTGTTCTATTCCCCTGCTTCCCACAAGCAAAACCTTAGTGGGATATTTAAACTTAAGGTGTGTATTTCTTGTAACAATCATTGGCTAAAACCAATACCCAGCCTCCCCTTTCCCCGCCCTAGCCCAAAATGCTTAAAAGCCCATATGGGCTGGCCCTCAGGGCCGTTTCCTGGGATCCCAACTCCAGGTGCGGTCCTGGCGCATCAGCACTTTTCACTCAATAAAATCTTTTACATTTTTACTGAGGACTGAGTGGTCTCACTGCCCCTCCCCACTACAGTTACTGGACAGTAGAGAATGAAAGTATTCAATTTTAACATTCATGGCCTAGTTATTTTTGAACATGATACTCCTATTTATACTCAAACCAAATGTAACCAAGG